ACATACATACATACATACATACATACATACATACACACATACATAAAATATCTTTTTCTACATGTCAGTCCATTTTCCCAAAACCAGGGCCAATGTGACCAGACCCCATCCCCATCTACAAGATCATTCCTACTTAATCATAGTGTAGCTTGAAGGTTGGACTCTCACCACAGCAGGGTTCACAGCAGGGTTCGAGTCCCTGCAATGCCCGTACCTGCTGCAGGACCTGAAATAAACGACTTCACCTCTTTGGCCCTCAGAGGTTAACCAGGCATAGTAATCGCCTCCCTCACGGGGTTATTTAGGTTTCAACGAGTTGATGCACAAGCGTGGCACATGGAAAAGGCTCGATAAACGCGAGGTGCTGTTACTCCCACCACAGCGCCAGTTCTTCTCCCCTTTTTACTTTATTTTTTATTTTTATTTTATTTTTATTTTTTGAGATAGAGTCTTGCTCTTTCGCCCAGGCTGGAGCGTAGTGGCGCCATCTTGGCTCACTGTAACTTCCGCCTCTCGGGTTCAAGCAATTCACCTGTCTCAGCCTCCTGAGTAGCTGGGATTACAGGCGTCCCCCACCACGTCCGGCTAATTTTTGTATTTTTAGTAGAGACGGGGTTTCACTATATTTGTCAGGCTGGTCTCGAACTCCTGAGCTCAGGTGATCTGCCCGCCTCGGCCTCCCAAAGTGCTGGGATTACAGGCGTGAGCCACCGTGCCCGGCCCCTTCCCCCATTTTAGCGGTTTCCCTCCCTATTGGGGCCAGGGACGCCTCAGGCTGTCTCTGTCAAGACCTACAGCTCTGGCTGTTGTCCTAGGCTCTTCCGCGAGGTGCTCTCCTGCCTCCTGACCACCCCCATTCCTCCCCGCTCGAACTCCTCAGCGAGCGGCTGCGAAGGACGCGCCAACACTCCGCGTAGCGGGAAGGACCCGAACTCGGATCGCAGCCTGAAATTGCTGCGCTATACTCCCGCCCCGCTGCCCTCTGGTCAATTTAAAGCGAAGACGAGCCTTAGGGCCAGTCAGAGGCGGCAGCGGAGGAGCCATGCCCGCCTCCTTGAGGCGCCCTGGCGTCTCATTGGCTGTGCTTGAGAACGAATCCCGGGCTAAGCCACTTAGAAAGGAGCGGAGCCAGCCAATCAGCAGTGCAACCGCCGCGGGGGCCGGGCCAGAAGTCCTGGAGACACGCACCTCAGAAGATTGGCAAGGGGCGAGCTCGCAGCTTGTCAGCCCCGAAGTCCTGCCCAGGGGGAAAGCCTGCTGGAGGGAGTCTAATCCCCGGGCCAGTTAATGTTGGGGCAGCGCAATCGGCCGTTCCCTCTGCGGTGGGGTGGGGGGCGGGAGTGCTGACACGTCCGCGCGCCGTTACTCCTGGCTGAGCATACAGTCGAGGTGGCAGTGGGAATTGGAAGTGCGAGTGTCACACTGCCAATCACGGGGCAAGGTACTGCTCCCTCTTGTGTCTTCCTTGTCTCTGTACACGTCCAGGCGAGGCAGAGTGAGCTGTGCCAGCAATCGTGGTGGAGTGGGACAAGAGGAGAGAAAAGGGAGCTGTCCACAGACACTGAAGCCTGGCTGGCTTTTTTTTTTTTTTTTTCTTTTTTTTTTTTGAGACGGAGTCTCGCTCTGTCTCCCAGGCGGAGTGCAGTGGCGCGATCTTGGCTCCCTGCAATCCCGGGGTTCAAGCGATTCTCCTGTCTCAGGCTCCCGAGTAGCTGGAATTACAGGTGCCCGCCACCACGCTCAGCTAATGTTTGTATTTTTAGTAGAGACGGGGTTTCACCATGTTGGTCATGCTGTTCTCGAACTCCTGACCCCAGATGATCCGGCCGCCTCGGCCTCTCAAAGTGCTGGGATTACAGGCGTGAGCCACCGCGCCCTGCCTGGCTGGCTCTTTTATTTTATTTTTATTTATTTATTAGAGACAGGGTCTCACTGTGTCACCCAGGCTGCAGTGCAGTGATGTGATCATGGCTCACTGCAGCCTCGACCTCCTGGGCTCAAGGGATCCTACTACCACCTGGACCTCTCAAAGCGCTGGGATTGCCGGCATGAGACACAGTGCCTGGCCTTGGCTTGCTCTTATGGGCCTCCAGGCCAATCAGGTGTGGCGGCAGCCTACACACCCCTACACACTTCCCAGATGGTAAAGGGTTGAGAAAAAGGTGACAGGGTTTGCAAATGGGAGCTACTTAGGGAGGCAAAATAGAAGCAAGAAAGGCAGGTCAGGCACGGTGTCTCACGGCTGTAGTCCCAGAATTTTGGGAGGCCCAGGTGGGAGGATTGCTTGAGCCCAGGAGTTCCAGGCTGCAGTGAACTATGATTGCACCATTGCACTCCAGCACGGGCAACGGAGGGAGACCCTGTTCATAAAATAAAAATGAAATAATTTTTTTTTTTTTAAAAAAAGGACAGTGGTACTCCGGAGCACTTGCTGAGGGAGCCTCCAGGGCTGTTCAGGTGAGGGAGAATCAGGGTCCAGTCTCTTCATGGAGAGAGTGGGAAAGGGCAGACTACACAAGCCGATCAACGCTGGAGCCCGGCTGGAAATCAATGAAATCTCAGCCTAAGAGGCCTGAAGCCTATGGACCAATGAGACTCAAGGCCCTGCCCCTTCACAGCCAATCAGCTGCAGGTCAGAGACAGACGCGCGGGAGTGGCGCTGTCCTAGGTGCCTCCCATGCTGCCCAGCGTGCTCAGCTGGCCTGAGCGGGAGAGTGCGACCTGCGCTGCAGCCAATCAGCGTCCGCCTCAGGATCCGGGGGTGACCACGTGCGGGAGCCTTGCGTCCCTGGCCTCGCTCCACTCCCCACTTTTAACGGTCACTCGGCCTTGAGCCATCCTGAGTGTATGTGAGGCTGAAAGGGAAGGAGGAACAGGGTCTGGGCCGGTGAGTGCCATAGTTTTTCTTTACTTTCTTGGGCTTGGGCCTGGCCCAGGCAAAGCTGGGGTGTGGAAGCTTGACTGGCCCTGTTGATGATTGGGAAGTGCGGGTTGAGGGCTTTAGCCCTTAGGGCTTTCCTCTGTCTTTGAGAGGCTGGAAATGCAGCCTCCTGGCCACCTTTAGGCCTAGGTTTGGCAGAGGCCAAGCCAGCTTGCCCTCTGGGTTGGTCTACGGCCCCCGAGGCCAGCCTGAGTGGGAAGGGTGTTGTGGGGAAGTTGCAGGCCCTTAGCTCTGCACGGGGTCATTGACCATTAGGTATGGCCTCTGGACAATGAGAGGTTACCAGGGGTCTCTGGACTGAGCCTGAATCTGGTGACTGAAAGGAGAGGCCTGTGGATCTCCAAAGGTTATGTAAGGGCTGGGCACGGTGGCTCATGCCTGTAATCCCAGCACTTTGGGAGGCTGAGGCAGGTGGATCATTTGAGGTCAGGAGTTTGAGACCAGCCTGGCCAACATGGAGAAACTCTGTCTCTACGAGGTTTCCAAAAAAAATTACCTGGGCGTGGGGGCACATGTCTGTAATTCCAGTTACTCAGAAAGCTGAGGCAGGAAAATAGCTTGAACCCGGGAGGTGAAGGTTGCAGTGAGCCGACATTGTGCCATTGCACTCCAGCCTGGGCGACAGAATGAGACCCTGTCTCAAGAAAAAAAAAAAGAAAAGGAAAAAAAAAGTTGCGTAGAAAGTCACTGGCCAAGAGATGAAACTAGTGTTCACTTGAAGGTCTTCTGGGGTCTTTGGAGCCAGCCTGGGCTGGGAGTGAATGTTCTGGACTCCAGGTTGAGATGTTCTTGGGAGATTTCCCAGTATGGGGTCCAAGTTGGATGATGTGGCCAAGAGGTTAGGCCAGTAATCCTCTGGAGATTCTAGGGAGAAGGGTTCTGAATCTCAGCCAAGCTGTTTGCCCTGGATGAAGTATTATTACCCTGTGGTGGCTCTGTACAGAACTGGGATTGGGTGGCCGGGCGTGGTGGCTCACACCTGTAATCCCAGCACTTTGGGAGGCTGAGGTGGGCGGATCACCAGGTCAGGAGCTCGAGACCAGCCTGACCAAGATGGTGAAACCCTGTCTCTACTGAAAATACAAAAATTAGCCGGGCGTGTGGCAGGCACCTGTAATCTCAGCTACTGAGGAGTCTGAGGCAGGAGAATCACTTGAATCCGGGAGGCAGAGGTTGCAGTGAGCCAAGATCATGCCATTGCACTCCTGCCAGGGCAACAGAGCAACACTCTGTCTCAAAAAAAAAAAAAAAAAATTATATTAAGATCCCTACAAGTTTGAGAAAGATATAAAGAAACTAATTGCAGGTTC